ATCGGCCTGCGGTCCGGAGAGACCCGGGTTCGGTTCCCGCTAAGGGCATGTACCTCGGTTGCAGTTTGTCCCCGGCCCTGGTTGGTCGTGCGGGTGGCAGCCACTCGATGTGTCCCTTTCACATCGATGTTTCCCTCTCTCTCTTTTCCTCTCTCTCCCTCCCACTCTGTACAAAAAATGGAAAAATGTCCTCGGATGAGGATTAAAAAAAAAAAAAAAAAAGAAGTGATGGCACATCTACACATAAAACACTACTCAGCCTTAAAAAAAAAAAAGAGGGAGTCTTACCTTTTGGGACGGGATGGAGGGCCCTGGCGAGGATTACACGAGTGAAATAAGCCCGTCAGAGAGACAAGTACCACGTGCTCTCACTTATATGTGGAATCTAATGAACAAATAAACTAACCAACCAAACCGAAAGACTCGCAGACAGACACCAGACTGACAGCTATGAGTCTGGGGGCGCTGGGTGAGAAGGTGAAGAGATGAAGCAACAGAACAAACCTCACACACAGACAACAGAGGGTGGTGACCAGAGGGAAAGGGGGTGGGGGAGGAAGAAGAGGCTAAAGGGGGGATAGATGGTGATGGAAGGAGGCTTGACTTGGGGTCGCGAACACACACTACCACATGCAGACGATGTAGTATAGCACTGTGCCCCTGAAACCTATGTAATTTTATTAACCGATGCCACCCCAATAAATTCATAAGCATTTTTAAAAGAATTTCTCTTAGAATCTAATCATAAAAATCATAGCCAGCGAGCAGGAAACACAGAACCCAGCGAGCGCCGGCCCGCGGGGGCCTGCAGAGCACAGGACTGCGTCAGCCGGGCCCGGGGACGCACAGGACAGAAGTCAACCAGAGGGACGCAGGCCCCTTCCTCCTCACACCCACCCACAGCGCAGCGCAGGGAACGTATGCACAGGACGCCTGCCCCGGCCCAGCACGCACACACGCCGCGCACACTGCGGACCAAACCCCTCTCCCCGCGGCACTGGCGCTCCGGGGAAGGGGTCAGATAAGCGGATTAAACCGACAATCGGTGAATCCCGTGGCGTCAGAAGGGTCTTAGGTGCCTTGGAGAAACGTCAAACAAGGGGATAGATGGGGCCTGGCTGGACGGGGATGGGGGGCTGTGATTTTAAATTGCTCGGGGAAGACCTCACAGAGGAAGTTACCCCCCGAATGAGGCCAGAAGGAGGAGCTGAAAGAACATTCCAGACAGAGGAGGAAGCTTCTGATGCCAGGGCTCCAAATCCGCCCGGTGGGGCGGGCAGTGTGGAGCTCCCTGGGGTCTCCGAACGCGCTGCTGTAGTGCTGAGCACACAGCAAGTGCCAAATAGAGACATTCTGAAGGGCGATTTTTCAAACTGCCACTTCCAGAAGGTCCCAGTTGCTGATGCTACAATACGAGCCGTTTGAACATTCAACGTTCGGCCGTGTCGGCGCCGGCCGCCCCCCGGCCGCCGCCCCTGGGAGGCTCCGCGGAGCCCGCTTCATTATTAAACAGGTGAGCGGGGCTCGGGGGACCGTCTCTGTAATTAGGGCAGAATCTGAGCAAGGGCGATATTTATAACCCCAGCCGTCAGCGGGCCACGGGGACCAGGAGTGGGTCCCCGTGCAGCCCCTATACCAACATCTATATGTGTACTGATTACAACAATTAATTTAATAGGGATTCCTGCACACAAACAATGCATCATTTTATTAGGAAACTCTATAAACGTCAGCGGTGCAATTCGTTTTTATTAATTTTCTGAAATGAAATTAGCAGTGGCGGCGGCAACAGAAGCCGTATCGCCTTCTCGCTCAGCGGAGTATTGGTGCCATTAATTCCTGAATACCAGGAGGCCGGTTTGCATGAACTCAGCAGTTAACCGCACCAATTAATTTCAGCAGTAGGGACGGGAGGGGGGGATCCGAACTCGTCTCCATAACTAATTTAGGAAGGTCCTTGAACAACCGCAGCAACTTTTCCTCCTCCTGGGGCGAGACGCTTTCAAGTGTAAACACGGCGTGGATGTTATCACATGGATAGGAAACGTTCTGTCTGCAGGAGGAAACCATCCGTTCCCAGCCCGCGGAGTCTGACAGATGCTCCCTGAAGCCAAAGCCTCCAGCTGGCCCAGGGACTGCCCCGCGCTGGCAAGAGGAACCGTGACATCCCTGGGCATCGGCATGGACCCTCACAGCATGCCAAGCACAGTCCCAAATGTCATGCCACTCAACCCTCATGGTGGCCCAGTGAGGACAGGGTCAACACCGGCTCCCTTCCACACATGAAGAAGACAAGATGGGGCGCCCTGGCCGGGTGGCTCCATTACCAGTCGGTTAGAGCATCGTCTCGATACACCAGGGTTGCAGGTTCGATCCCTGGACAAGGAACACACAAGAATCAACCCAAGGCCCCGGGCCGGTTTGGCTCAGCGGTTGGAGCATCGGCCCGCAAACCAATGAGTCCCAGGTTCGATTCTGGTCAAGGCCTCATACCTTGGTTGCAATTCGTCCCCCACCCTGGTCGGGTTGTGCAGGAGGCAACCAGTCAATGTGTCCCTCTCACACAGATGTTTCTCTCTCTCTGGCTCCCCCCCTCTCTGTCAGATGATAAATAGAAAAATATCCTCAGGTGAGGATTTAAAAAAAATAATCAACCCATAAATGCATAAACAAGTAGAATAACAAACTGGTGTTTCTCTCTCTCTCTTTCTCAAAAACGATCCATAAAGGGTAGAGTGACTTCTTAACACCACAAAGCTGCTGAGTGACACCCAGAGCTCCACCCGGACCCATCACTATCTGACACCCACACCCCATCTCCTCTGCCCCGTGGGCCCCGTGCCTCAGGATGGCCAGTCCCGTGGCTCTGACTACACTCCAACAAGTCAAGGGGGTCAGGCACCCCCGTGAGTGACACTTCTCAACTGGAACCCACATTCCCCGGGCTGAGTCACCAGGCAGAATCCGCCGCCGCCCCTCCCCCCGCGGCGGTTCTGCCGTGAAGAGGCGGCCGGACGCCACCCGGAGTTCTCGGTCTCTGGCTGAACAGAAGCCCTTCCCTTCCACTCAGATTCAAGGACTGTGCCTCGAGGAGCAGAGAAGGGCGCGAGGGGCGGGGGGCTGCTGGGATAAGAGCCGCTGCTGGGGGCCGGAGCCGGGCAGAGGCAGAAAGCAGACAGACCTCCTTCTCCCCAAAGAAACTAGGGCAGCCGGTTCTCCAAGTGAGGTCCCCGGAGGGCCGCATCCCATCACCGGGGAACTTACGAGATGCTCATAAGTATGAAATTAAAATATGAGATGCTCGGGCCCCAACCAGACCTGGTGACTCCAACCCCGGGGTGGGGCCCAGCATTTTCACAAGCTCTCCAGCCGATACGGACACCCACTAAGTTTGGAAGTAACCGCCCTGAGAGGAACTCCCCCAGAAGAGAAGAGACAGGAAAGGACCAGTCTCCATGGTTCGGCGGGCTGAGCTCACCAAACAGTCCACGGTGTCACCCTTCCACCCCGCCCCTACACTCTACGCAGGAACGTCCTTCCTGGCCCCATCCTCCTGGGGCTTGGCCAAGGGAACTGCCGGGGCCAATGGATGTGCAGAGGGCGTGGCCTGTGATACCACGGGCAGGGTTCCCAGGCAGGTCGCCTGGGCATTTGAAGCCTCTGCCGCCCTTCAAGAGAACCACCTTCCCGACAGGGGGCAGGAGACACGCCGCGTGCTCCTCAGCACAACCCGAAGCCACAGCCAACCCACCGAGGGCGAGCGGGACATAGAGCCTGATGTCACAAGCCACTGGGTTCGGAGGTGGCTTCTCACGCAGCATTAGCGCCGCAAACGCTGGCTGTTACACACCGCCTGGCCTTCCGGTGAAGAAAGCGTGGCCTCGGAAGGCTGAGAGGAGGACACCCCGCGGCAGGCTCGGGGAGAACCACAGGACTCAGACACTCAGCGCCGACCTCTCCTTGCGCCGGAGGGGACGCGAATCTCAGGAACCACCTCCTTCTCTTTGACAGCCTCTGACCTCCTCCACGAAACCGTGGCCCCATCTGAAAGATGCTAACCACTAAAGCCTACGCCTAACGAAGGAACAGCTTAAAGCGCTTCTAGAACGCGCACACCCTCTCGAGGACAAGGCCCTCTTTCCCCCACGGCTCGGAAAGGATGAACAGGGCACGCTGACAGCCACGGGGGCAGAGGACAACCCCACCCCTTGCCCTGGTGCCAGTTAACAAACCTGGAAAATTTGGTGCCTCTTCCCAAAGCAAGACAGACGGACCATCCGCCTCTCCAATTCCACCCGCCGGGGCCCGAGAGCGCTCCTCACACTGACAGACGCCTGGCCCTGCCCCCGCCCAACGGGAAGTCCTGGCGGCGGGAAGAGAGGGGCCCGTGTTTCTGCAGCTCAGGGACGCACCAAGTACAAAAACTGAGCGCTGGGGAGGAAGGAAGAAGCCACCTTTAAAGTGAACCCTAAGTCCCAACCTCGGGACGCACGGTGGCCGTCTCTTCACCGTTCCCCCTACTCCCCAGGGGCGAGGGGCGCTGTGTCGGTGGCTGTCGGCAGCTCGAGGACATGTACTGCGTCATAAAGTGCGACCTGAGCCATGGCTCCTGGTTCGGGAGATCCCCTTACCGCCGTCACCAATAACTTGACTTTCCGTTTATAAAACGCACTGAGCTAGAAGTGGTAGGTAGTTCCCCCTTTTAAAAAGTAAGTTTCTAGACGACCCTGGCAGGTGGGCATGTTCTCAAGATACACTGCCCTTGGCGCTGCTGCCCGCCCAGGCTTCCTCAGGGCCCGGCGGGCAGAGGGACAGTGAAGTCGCGGGTTCCGGGTTCCGGCCGGCGTGAGGGCACTCCCGGCCACGGTGTCGGCCAGCCCACGAGACCTCAGGGCCGTGAGCCATCCAACACAGCGAGGGTTTGCACTCGCCCGTGAACCGACGACGCAAACCAAGCCGATCGCTGTGCGTGTCTGAGAACCGAAAGCTCGGGACATTACCTGGTCTTAGGGGACGTGGTTAACCATTCCTCATGCTTCTCGAACGTTATTAAATAGGCTGCGATCTCCTGAAACAGAAGAACAGAGAGACGATAACGCCAATTAGCGCACGTTGGTCCTGGGAGGTCAGCCCGTTTCGGTCGCGTCCCCTCGGCGGCCTGGCTTGGGGCCGCGGCGCCCCGTCTCCTCCAGGAGAGCACCCCCCTGGGGCGGCGTTCTGACGTGATTTCTCTAAGCCCTTCCCGCCGCCGGGCTAGCCACACTATGGTGGTCGGAGCGCTGGGCTTCCAAAGACCAGCCAGTGGCAAGGGCGGCGTGTTGCTCTGCGGGAGGAAACCCTCAGACCCTGTTTCGGATTCTAAATGCCGTTCGTTTGAAAAAGGGGAGAAGCACGTGCCCAAGGTGGGTCTCCGCTCACGCCAGGCCGTGATGGGAAAGCTCAGTCTGTCCGCGATCGCTCCTCGTCACAGGACACAGTGCGTCCTCCCAGCTTGACTCCCACCCCTGAGCCAAATCACACGAAGATTCGAAAGACACGGTAAAGCCATATTCCTGGGAGGGAGAGGGAGCGGGAGGGAGAGAGGTGAAGGGAGAGGGAGAAGGAGAGAGGGAAGGAAGGAGGGAGGGAGGGAGGGAGGGAGAGTTCACCTTTCCCACGACAGACAACTTAATCTACTGAGCTGAGCTCCCGACAGAAGAGCTTTGTCAGCAGAGTTTCAGGCAAAGATGGAGAAAATGTGGGCACCTGAAGGTAAATTAAATATTTATACACACAACAGCGCTGCAGATAGAATTACTGACTTATTAATAATTTCCATAAAAAGCTAGTGGGTGACATCGACAGAAGTCATCGCTCCAGCTCCAGGGGCAGGGCAGGGCCCATGGCTCCCCGCTGCAGACAGATCCGCTCGCATGGAGTCGGCAGGGTTACGAGTTAAATGGAGATGACACCAGAGACATCTCCCTTGATCCTGGTGACGACAGCGCGGGGCAGGGAAATGCGGGAGAGGCCGGGTCTGAACTCTCCCTGCGGCCCGCGGGCCGGAGGGCTCCTCGGCGGGGAGTACCCCTGTGCCCAGAGGCCCACAGCCTTGCTCTGCTGTCAGCCTCCGCTGACCCCTGGGACCGGAGATGCTAAACTTGGTTTTAAAGAAAAAGGAGAGACTATCACCGAAACCAGGTAAGCGGAGCAGGTTGAAGTGGAAAACACCAGCCTGTCACGCAGCGTGAAGGCCACAGGTGCCGGTGGAGATCAGGGTCTCACGTAATCATAACGACCAGCCACTCCCACGAGGCAGCCACCTCTGTCCAGAAGCAGGACCCGTGGCCAGCACGGCCGTGCTCGCCGAATGGATTTCCCCGCTGCCCGGGGGGAAGCTGCTCTCACACCCCGGGCCTCTTCCTGTTCCGTGTCCTCTCCTTGGCAGATACTTCCCCAGGGCTCAGAGACAGGCATGAGCTCCTGGCTAGCCCTGCTCCCCACTCACGACGGGGGCTCGCCCACCCCGTGGCTCCCACGGCACCCGACACCTACAGGATCCATCGCTGTGCGTCTTCATTGCTTGTTTACTTGGATAGCGGCCCCCACCGGACCAGGAGCTCCTCGAGGGCAAGCCGTAGGTCATCCCTGATGTGTCCCCAGGACCCAACAGTGTCCTGATAAATGTCTGTTAGCAGATGGATAGATGGGCGGGTAGACGGGTGGGGGGGGAGTGGACATTACACAATAAATGTGCATATAGTATAAGTGAGTGTGCTGGGTGCTTGTGTTCTGAGCGTGTTGTGTGTGTCACTGAAGACGACTGGACGAGAGCGTGAAGGCAGCGGGTGCGGCAGGTGCTGGGCACACCTCGCAGGGGCTCCGCTCACTCCGTGGGCAGCACGCGCCCCGGAAGCAGACACGCTGGCTCTGGCTGCCGGCTGGCCACTCTTCAGCATCAGATCTTGAGCACGTGACCTAACCTGTCCAGACCTGAGATGAGACCCCCACAGAGGCCCTTACAAGGAGCGACGATTCTTAGTGCACTTCACACACGGCGACACCACGACCACAGCTCCCGTCGTCATCGTCGCGCGGTCTGCGTGCAGTGACGAGGAAGCGGGCACTGAGTGGGCATCGGAAGCTGCAGCACTTCTGGCCTTCCCCCCATCGACCCCCATCGACCCCCACCGACGCCCCCTGGGGTGACTTCAGAGTTAGCTGGACTCAAGCCTTCCCTTTCTCCACTGGAGCCCATTTGGTCTCACTACACCCTGGCAGCAGACAGTGGCTGGGGTCAGCAAGTGGATAAACTGAGCCCCACATGTGTGTGGGTCCACCCACCTGAATTTAGGAGGCTTGGAATCCAGAGGATTCTGTGCCAGCTGGACCCCCTCGGAGCCATGCCCTTGCCCGGGACCCCGCCGAGAGCTAAGTGACCCCCTGGCCCAGAAGGGTGGGGACACCGTGCGTCCCAGCCACCACAGTGCCCCAACAACCCAGACGCCCAGAGAGAACCTTCATGAACATCCCTCAGCGAACCCTCGCCCTAACCGGGCGGAATCCCCTCACTGCAACCGCCCTTCCGAGACCCAAGCTCCCTGGACCACGTGCTGCGTTCGAGATGTACTCCGTGAACGGTGACTGAGAATGGACCGCGGGCCAGGCAGTGAGCACGCCCACCACAAAGGTGGCCCTGGAGAAGCTCACAGTCAAGCAGGGGAGGGACGAGCCACGGCAACCGTCAAGGTGAGGGCGACAGCACGGTCCACTCTGGAGCCAGACCCAACGGGGTGTCACAGGTCCACCGAGCTGCGCCCGCGAGCAGAGGCCCCAGGAGGCCGCATGACTTACTGCCTGTGAGCACTCCCTCGTCCCCCCAGGTAACAGACACCTCCACGCAGGACCCCTGGGTGGGCCCCCACTGACGAGCAACCTCAGAGTGCCCTGACCAGGCTCCCACCCCTGCCCTGCGCTCGTTGGCCAGGCCCTGAGCTGACCTCAACCACCAGGGAATGTCCCCGTGCTGCGTCCTGCCTGGCTCCCAGCGGGACTGGGCCCCTCTGAGTCACTGTCTCCTCCTAGGCCCATGCTCCCCAGCCTTCCCAGCCCACCTCCCGAATCCAGGTGCTGGTCCACCTGTCAGGCGAGCAGACCACGGGCTGAACCCCGCCTCCCCGGAGCTCAGCACGGATGGAGAGACACAGTGCGTGAGCCAGAGAACCACGCGGACGACTCAGATGCGAAACAGCACGGAGCGAAGTAAGAACCATCAAAATTCAGAGTCAGACGAGTCCGAGTCCGCTGGGCCTGGAAGGGGAATGATTTGGGGGACAAGGGCCTTCGCATCCGCCATCGTTACCATGACAATGGCTAACACAGCGAGAGTGCCGTCTAAGGCCGGTCCCTGCTCTAGGAGCCTATGGAGAACCTCACTTAACCGTCAGAGAAACTATGAAGTAGGAACCAGCCCGGTTCAAGGTGGGGAAACGGAGGCACAGCTAAGTGGCCGGCGCAAGGTCACACAGCTGGTCTCTGTAGACGCAGAACCCAAACCCACGCAGATGGTTCCAGAGCCCACCTTCTCTGCTGCTGTTCCGAATTCCTTAAAGGGCAGCCACCATGTGCTCTGGTAGAAACAGGAAGCCCCCACACAGAGGACCGTGACTTCCCCGACGGGCTGACCGCTCCTGCTCCCCTTGGCCCAGAGCCATTTCACGGTCCCACCTCCCTCCGGGGGACCAGGAGGAGCCAGACGGAGCCTCCGCGAGCAGGAGTCTCTCCTGGCAGGATCAAGTTTATTTCTACCCCAAGCCCTTGTACGATTCACCGCCTTCAGTGACAGGGATCTGGGGGCAGACAAGGGAAAGGCAGAGAGATGCTGCTGCTGACAAGGACACGAGGTTTGAAACGCGGGGTCTCAGCCTTCCTGGCTGGCCTCCCCTCCCCCCAGAGCTCCGCCAGCCCCGCAGAAAGCAGGTAGAGACACGGGTCTGGTGTGTCTCCTCTGCACAGAGCAGGAAACTGAGGCACAGAGCGCTCAGGGACTTGCCCGAGGGCAGCACGCTTCTGTGCACGCGTGATTTCCCCACGTGTGGCCTCTCGAGCTCACGTCGGCCCAGGAAATTCACAGAATCTCGAACAAGAAGAGAATGTGCCCCAGAGAAGTGAAAACAGGGGCTCAAAGAGAAACAAGGATGTGAACGTCGGCAGCAGCTCTCTTCACGACAGCCGAGCATGCTGCCCGGGGTCCGCCGGCAGGTGGGTGGACGGACACAGCATGGTGGGTTCATGCAACAATGCTATTCACCCACAAAAGGAATCACGTTATCCCACATGCTACGTGGATGGACCTGGAAGACATCATGCCGACAGACGCAGAAGGCCACGTGTTGTGTGAGCCCGTGTCTGTGGAATGTCCAGAACGGGCAAACCCACGGAGACAGGGGGTATGAGTGGTTGCCGGGGCAGGGGACAGGGGAAGGGATGTGCTGCTAACGGGCATGGTTTCCTTTGGAGGGATGAGCATGTCTGGTGCTAGACAGCGGGGAAGGTTACACAACACCGTGAAGGTACTAACTGCCACTCGCGGCACCTCTGACGCCGTCTCCTCGCAATGAGAGAGCAGAAGGAAGGTGGACGTCCAGCGAGGTGGGCTCCGGGATGAAGGGCCTGCCAGTCCTCCCTGCCCGCGAAGGCGGAGCCTGGGCCTGCAGCCTGGTCTGGCTCTCGAGCCCGGCCTCCGTGATGAGAAGAATGACCGACTGTCAAGATGAAGGAACTCACTGCAGGCTCCAGAGCAAAGACTGCCCAGCTTGCAGATTTTAAATGGTTAGTTTGTCCTTTGGATGCTCAACTAGAAAAACTGACGCCGAGCTCAGATGTCTGCGTGTGGCAAGGGAACAAACAGGAGCCGTCGCGTCCCCCAGGCCGCTTTGATCGGCTGGGCACCAGGGAAGCGGCTGGGCCCTCCCCGGGGCACTGACAAGCCCCAGCACGAAGGGCAGAGAGGGCGGGACCAGGGGGCAGCACAGCTCTGCACCGGCGCCTCACCACACGCTCCCTCACCATGCACCCCACCATCCACAG